GCTCTCCTTGCCGCCATACATCTTACGGGGCGGTAAACTTTCTGATATACCTCTCGCAGCGATAACCATCGCTAATGTTGTAACGAAATATACACATTAAAAAACAACAGTACGTACTACACATACAGTTCTCTTTCAGTCGCACCATTGTTTATTACTTGAATATAAAGACCTCGCGCGATTCTCTTCTGTAACAATCACATGAACAAATTCTAAATATTTAGTCATGTTCGTGTCGGTACAGTTAGAAGCAGTGATATGTTTTAGTTGTATATTTCAGGTGTATTCATACTTGCTTAAGTAATTTGTAGAACGAGCCGTCAGCGCGGCGCGGCGTCAACATACGAGCTGTTTGTCCCCGCAGCCGCAGCCGCAGCCGCAGCCGCAGCCGCAGCCGCAGCCGCAGCCGCAGACTTCCCGCCTCACGCAGTATATTTGATGTTGATAATAAAGATAAGTAAGTCATTCTTCAACGCGGCGAACATCTTTCGCAAATTTTATTTCTTCCTTTTTGAGAGCACGTCGATGGTCTTTATTCGTCGAAGCTTTTAATAAAAAAGCAGTAAAACTGTCGCTCGTGATATCTCTGACCCATATGTTTTATGACACATTATGTTTTGTAACTCTGACGCATGCGATCTCTTTGATATGGTTGAAATAGTACAATATATCGTATACTCTGGTTCGTTCCCAGAGCCAGTCCGGTCGACACATCGCCGTTACAATTGTTATTTCATATATCATGCATTATGTGTACCCTCTACATTTGACGCTGCTCTAACCTGATGTTACATCTACATAATAAAAAAAAATCAGACACCATCGCAAATATTCTAATATTATATTAGCAGTTAAAGTAAACCTATAGTATGATAAGCTAGGTAATCACAGTCGGTATTGTTTGACAGAGCCTCAAACAGCTTGAAAAAAATATTAAGAGTGAAAAATTGTAAATCTTACTGTCCCGATTTACGAGTTGAAGGATATTTTCGTGAGGTGCATGATAAGAAGGAGTAGTAGAGGCATAAACTTTACGTCAAAGTTTTTATTGAATATGGTATCGAAACATTTTATGAGT